GCTCGTTATACGAATTACTCGTTAAGCAAGGCTCCACTGTACTTTGAAAAACATGAGAGATATGAACTGTGTGAAAGATATGAATCAACAAAATGAGCCGCAGTTTGTCTTTGATTAAAGAGGGGGTCACATTCCTCTTTCAAGACTTAAAAAGTGAATGTGGTGAGGGTTCATCTAATGACCAAAAGACTTAGTTTGAGCCAGGTGGTAGTTAGTTTCCTAGGTTTAAGATTCATCCAGACCTTCACAAACTTTGACCAGAGAGGCAGCCTGTCCAATGTCATTTTAGCAGTTTGTTTTTCAGCTTGTTATACTGTGGTCTTTCAATGAAAAAGGTGCTGACAGTGATGGTTAGGTAGAATGGAAACATCTGTTACAGCATATGTAAGCTATCTCCAGACTCTAGGTGAGCAGTCTTCTCCTTGATCTAGTTAGCTACCTCTATCCACAGCTGCACTCTCCACCCCACTAGCTGGTTGGCAGCTCAAAAGTATCAGTACAGATGGGATGACCTTCCAAGGTATGGGATTCAAGAACAGGGCATTAGAAATGGTCTATACTTAATTTAGCCTAATTGCACTGGCCACTGCAACCATATGGTCCCTAACCACAAAAGTATCTCTTTGGGGAGAGGGATACTGGAATAAACTCAAAATGTAAGATGGGTGTCTATTTACATACTATTGTACACTATCTTACAGTATTTACATAGATTGGTCTGAAGGATATTGGACTAGTTAATTCCATCCTATTAATTCTATTTATCCTAGGTCGGGGCCTACCCGTACTCTGTGGCTGATTACACAATGTGGATACACTTACTCAGTAAGGCTGGTGAAACTGCTCTGCCAATCCCATAATGTTTCTGAAGTCTCACTATGGCCTTGGGCATAGTGACTGGTGGCACCTTTTAAAATTGTCTATCCAATGGCTCTTGTGTATCCCTGACCTAGGGTATTCAATAGCTCAATTTTACTTGTCAGCATATCTCCTCTTGCCCTAGTTTTTACAGTAACAGATACAACATACTGTACAAATGCCAAATTAGTGTCTCCAAGCAAATCTTACCTGCCATTAGGCATGCCTGTTCTACATTACTTTTTCTTCCTGGTTGCATAGTTCCATGGAGTTCATTCCTAATAACACAATCACGTACACCATCATATCAGTAGAAGCAACAAAAATAGACCTTAAAAGAAAGGGACCCACCACCATAAACAAAACTCCAATACGCAAAAGCTTACTAATATAAAACAAATAAGAACATGACTAGCAAGCCTACCACAGAATATCAAAAAACACAAAACTACAAAAAAAAAAAGAGGACAGCACAAGGCCAATGGCACCTACAGCGTATACTCACACAACACCAACATTTATACCAAAGATTCAAAAATTCAAAACACCCCATTTCACCCCCCCCCCCCAAAAAAACATGTGCAACAATTAGCACCAAGAGTGCATACTTGAATAATACCCACATCCCCTACTTCATTCCACTCATAAAACCCCATACACATATAATAGCATTTTTTTTAAATAACAATATTTTTAAATTAGCTTTACTAATTTAGACAAGTATTTAAACATATTTAAACATTAATTCTATGTGAAAACTTTTACATAACAAGACTATTAGCAATGCTTCCATTGCAACACAGTCGAGTAATAAACATGGATATACTGTTGTTTATAAATGTCTGATGATGGTCATAAATGACTGAAACATGCAGCAGAAATAACATCTTAAACTAACTGATTTTATTGACAATTTGAGTCTATCAGTTATTCATTCAAAGTAAAAAACTGATGTGATTGATGGACATATGTACATAGTAGTGACATACACAACAGGCTGCAAAACATATGAATGATGATTTAAACCTCTTCAGAGGCAGATGGGCAATTTAACAATTGTCATTTCTATTGCAATATATACAATTTCACTTCATCACAGACATTATCACTTCACCACCAGAGTACAAAGCTTGTGAAATAAGCTCAATGAGCATATAACTTAGTAGGTGAAATATCTGATAAAACGTCTGTGAATGAAAATCTAATATGCATAATACAACACGAACTGTTCATGAATTGACAGCTGTGGGTGATAAATCCTGGATCACTAGCATAATATTACCAGGATTTAAAACTCTGTAGAACTTAAGCTAATCTGTACAGAACTAAGCGACCCTACAGTAGTAGTGGTAGCAGCAGAAGAAAAGAATTAGAAACCCTAAGATGATCATGACAAAATATTAGTTCATACACCTTACATTAATCGCAAGCTTCAAATAATGAAACTGTCAAATATAACTGTATAAAATATTTGTTCAAGAAAACCCAACGTTTCTCTCTCTCTCTCTCTCACTATCCATAGTACTAACGAGTCAAGACATGAGATTGCTTGCTATATTGCTAATAATGCTCACTTGGTTTGCAAAGAACATAAATTAGCAGGTAAATCATGTTGACAAATATATGTTCATGCAAATCCTGAAAGGTGAGAAAAAAACAGTCAATGCAGTGAAAATTATGAAAAAACACTTTTGTTAACATGAGCATAAAACTGTGGTTATGAAGTTCAGCAAGGCAGTCTGAGGAAAGCAGCCAAGCTGATTAGACCCATGCAGTTGAGCTGAGAAGCAGCATTAAGTGTTTGTGTGCAGAGCAACAGTGCATACTACAAGAAGAGCAGAGTGCAGGGGCAGAATACACAAGCCAAATAACAAGATCTTAGGAGGACTTACAAACTGAAAATAACTTCTCCAAAATGCAATAAATATGATACTATGCTTAACATGATTAAACTGATGGTGCATAAGAAAATGCTCATTATTGCCTGTAAATGTTATAATGGATTCCTACTGTATTTAGTTTTCATACAGTTATGTATGGTAGTAAAAAAATCGTTGAAAATCTCATAGCCATACAAATATTTTGATATAAAAAGGTGAATCAGTATTCTCTGGCACCTTGCTGTGACCTTCTCCTGCCATCAGCATGCAAGATTCATTTCATAGTTTTTCCTATACACATGCAGGGCAGGCATAACATAAGGGTTTCAAAAAATCTGAACAGTGAAGTATTGATTGGAAAGGTTATTTAGCACCGAACAACAGACTGTGCACGGGTACAGGAGGATGCATTCAGAGCCAATTCTGGAAGTACTACTCTCCCTGTACTCACCTGGAAGAACTGAGGAAAACAAGAGATACATGTTATGAACTAGATGAGGGTTTGGGCCACGAATCTATCAAATCCAGTTTCTCAAAGTATATAGGAAGTGGTCCCCAGAAAAAAGTTGAACCATGTAGTTTCTGAACATGAAACAAGGGTGTTATCCACCGTATCTCCTCCATATTCTGTACCACAATATGCAGGAAGAGAACATTAATGTTACCTGAGAGAGCTAGAGTGCTGTATTTCAAATCACCAGTACCTATTAAGTTGAAGCATGCTGTAAATTATACACCTTTCCATATGTCAAATTGAGTTTTATTTTGTGTTACTATTACCTTACCACACATTATGATTTTAAATTATTCAGCTGAATGACATAGTTCTCTGTATAGGTATTAATAGTAATATACTTTTCTAACCAACCATGTTAACTTATAGACATCTCAGTATATATTACAATCCATTTAAACTTCTATAACAAATCATATTTGTAACTCAGACTAAAAACTATTGTCTAGGCTGGGAATTCAATAGGAAGGTGAAAAAGTGATATTAATAAATTAACCATATAACAGTAATCACTTAATAAACAAATTAGTGAGTAAAATGAGTGGTCAACACAAAATATTAATAAAACATGTACACAAATGTAAATAATTTCAACATATATGTATACACATATCCTATTTATGCCATTTGAATTCTGCAGATACAGTAGCATTTCCAGAGTGACTGCAAATTATGAGACGTAGAGACTGAGGCAATGCTGCTGACTCATAAACCAAGTCCTGATGTTAACATTCTGAATCGTACCGTCAACAGTAATTGACGATAATAAACAAAATAATATTACAAAATATATGCGATATATATAAATGGATATTTGTACACTTTAGTTAAAATATGAATGATTTAAGGCAATGCATGACTGAAACATTAATGACAACATAACCAGACAGCTGAATAATTAAATCAAAATAATTGGCATCATCCCTAGAACGAACCCACACCAATTCCACAGGTTGATCCAATGCAGGTGAAATACCAGACATCTCACCTTCTGAGTAACAATTTAGTTTATAAACTCTGTCTTTACAGAAAGCATTGAGTTAAAATCTGCTGTTATTACACAAACTCATCCTGTCTCCTCTACAAGCAGAAATCACTACAATTCATGTCCATTGTATCCTACTACAATTAGTAAAAAAAAAGTAAAGTAACGCTATCCCTGTAATAGGCCATGAAGGCCCATAGGGCTGTGAGACGTTGAGAGTACCACATTATCTAGACAATTGGCTCAAAGATGACAGTAAGGTTGTCAGCCTTATGCACCAGCTGCGCTTTACTCCCCAGGAAAATTATTTAATTAATTCCTGGTACTCATTTCTGTTAGAGGCTGAGTCGACTCCAGGGCAATAGTGTGGCTGGAAGGATTAGGTCAACTGAAAAAATCCAATGACCTCATCAGGACTTGAACCCGCAATCTTCCGGCTTGTAGCATTGTGCCTACTACAGTTAGATAGAAGTTATAATTCTAAGTATCAGCTTTGGCTGTTGTAAGACTTATTTGTTACAACATGCATGTTAAACTTAATTGCAACATAATTATTCAGATAATAATTCAGATTTCCAATAGAAAAGAAATTTACTCCTATATTTTGTTAATCCCATACTTCATACCATTATAAAGCAAAAAAATGTTCAATATCAGTAATAACAAATCTTAGAAGCATAAAAGCTTTCAATATATCTTAGGCTATGTTAAGAGGAACTGGAGGTGGGGGAGTTCCCTTGTGGAATAAAATTAGGATCCTATGTCAGATGTATTAAGCATATTTAATAAAAGTAAATGGATACCATTTTCACTGTTGTGACGGATGAAAACAAATTCTTACAACACATTCACAATTCTCTGTCCCATTCACAACATATGCTGAGTTTAAAATCATATGTAGGTCCCACAACTTTCTTTGTACTGATCTCATGGATTAAAAAAAAAATTAATGGGTGTTACAGCCTAAAACTGCAATATTCATTTTAATAAATACTGTAACGTGTTATATTATGTCCATCGCTGCGCAACGGCTACAATGGGAACATATACTTCCGTGACAACGAATACATGGAAATTGTTGAGTTCCCCCAGCAACAAATGGAATACGAACAGACCGTTGTGTAGGAATAGCTGTGACGAGTTTTTGAAACAGCAGAAATAATGCATTTCTGCGGTAATGAGCATAGAACACGTGAAATCAAACCCTGGAAGGGGCCCTCTATTCCATCCAAAACCAGCTTATAAAAGTCCAGCTTTGAAAGGACCACACAGTTTTTCAGTTACAGTGAAGTTCTAGCAGTCACTGAGAACAGTTCAATCTGCATTTGACTATAGCAGAAGCAGTAAAAGTGAGCGTTCAATAAACGAATTCATTCCAATCTGAAGACCCACGCAATTTATTCGTGTTGTGTCACACAGCCGACACGTTACAATATTGTAAACATAAATTCAGCAAAGGTACGACACACTCCTTGCTATATACAGAACATAATAAAACACTTACTTTCCTATGTCATTTCTACATACATTTACAAACACACAATACATATACTTAACATGTACATATTAGTATGCACAGTCATCAAAGTATGCAAATGCACATACATACATATACATTAAAATAGAAAATCTATTAGAAAGATTTAAGATAAATACAAAGAGTCACACATCAACATGTACTTTCAATATTTTATGGCAAGGTAACAACTTACTGTTCTTAGTTACAAAATACTACAAAAGAAAACATATATTTATATTATGTTAGATTTGAGGGTCTCACAAAGGTGACTGTGAAGTGCACTATCTTTTGAGATGTGATGTTATGTCTGTTGGAAGTTTACTGATGTTCTGAAGAAACAATAATGCCTCCACCCTCTTCCTCTGCTTGCTTGGCTTAATCTTCATCAGTGAAGATGGAAGCAGCATCTTCCTCCAAAACAACAGCAAACTTATACCAGATTGCACAGCATCACACCCAAGAAGATACTGCTCTTTGCTACTTATAGTCCCTTATAAAACCATTATCTAGAATAGGATGCAACGATAAATATCTGAGCCACTGACCCAATACTGCAATCAACAATGTCCTAGGTATAAAATATTCGATCTATAATTTGTACACATATCACACTTGCATATACATAAACACTCTCTCCCTTTCTCATATGCATATAGAAAACTGTGAAATTTCTGTACACAACAATAAAGTCTCCAAACAACACATACAAGATTAAATTCAACAGTCTTGACTAATGGGATGAATAAAATAACTTTAGAAATTACATTTATTTTCATCAGTTTTGATCATTCTGGCTGCAACCCAATCCCCACTCCCTCAAGTTATGAATGTTGTAAATACATCATCATAATGGTGTTTGCTTTAGCTGTCAAAGTTTGGGAAGAATTACTCAGCCTCCAATTTTGCTTGCCTTTATATAGAACATAAATTCCATTAAAAAATGGTGGGTTTCACTGAATACAGTTTAGTATAGAAACAAACTGTCAGTGAAATTTAAACTGAAATAAAGAAAACTCCTAAGCTGACAAAACCCTGAATTACGATTCATTGATGAAAATGACTGAAATAGGACGGGGTTAATATACTCTGTTTTAGACGAGTTTTACACAAATAGCAAATCTTTTACCACAGTCAAAATTAAAGGTCTGAATCCAGTGTTTTTTTCATAACAGTACTTCATGCACTTCATTTCATATCTAATGGCCACTCTATTACTGCAGTGCTTTATAAGCATATTAGCATGGAAGTTATGAAGCCCCTGATGTACAGAAGTTGAGTTTTAATTCATGAAACTGCCGAAACAGAAATAAAAGCATCTAACTAAAAGGAGAGGTGATTGCTCTCAGGTGGTACTGTCTACTACAAACTGAATGAAGTTTCTGGTTATGCGACAAAGCCCAAGCCACCACTGGCTTTTAGCAGCTGAAAACTGCTCCAGAAAAATAATAATACAGTGAATCATACTGATACTGGTGCATTTATTTTAATTTTCATGCACATTCTTGTATGAGACCTGACAAAACTTTTTCAATGCCCAGCATCTTTAACATCCCAAGCCCTGCCTCACCTCTTTTGAACATCTTTTTTTCCCAACTGCTAATTGTGTTCTGTTTGGGCAAAGACAAGAAAAAATATAAAGAGATATACTGTTTCTGTGTGTCCATACTGTTTACATTTTCATAACTACAAGAAAAAAATATTCAGATATTAGTTTAAAAATTGCCATTTTAATGTAATCTGATTCAGCTAAATAACAACTAGCGTAACCAAGAACAGAAGATGTTATTGCCACTTAACCACCTAAGTGGGGAGTTGTGGCTAAGTGCAACTCATATAGACCTATGCATAGGGAACTTCTTATGCAATCTTAACTTTGCAGCAGTCATTCCATGGTGTATTCAATATGTATAATCTTATGCAAATCACCATGTAACCTTTGTCATTTACCATGCATTTCAGACATGATGAGATCACAAACAAGAAAACGATGTTAAATAATACATTTTCCTGAAGCTGTCTTTTTTTTTAAATCAAAACATACAATGAATAACAATAGAAGTGTGTGTTAATAATCTGTATAAGATTACACAAATCTCACTTAAGCTTCCGTTTAACTTTCCATCACAATACCAATAATCCTACATAACAGATGTTACACTAATCTGTGCATATAAAGTTTATAAACACCATGACTACATGTTCTCAGTAATGTACAGGATTATTATGGATATTCATATCAGATGTCTTACGTAAGAATTTTCTTCTTGCGGGACTTCTTCTTTTTGTCCGCAATATTCTCTTGCTTTTTAACGATGCATACTCGGCAATACCAGTCCTCATTCTCATCTGGAGGAACTTGAATACCCACACACACCCTGAAATTCAGTGACATATTCAGTTAATTTCTGAAGTGAGTTTAATGCACAGTCCAGTCACAAAACCATCTGGCAGTGCATAAGGAATGTGAAAGTGATACTAGTAATCACAGGTGTGACTGGAAGCCTATAAAGATCATTTCAAAAGTACATACATGACACCCACACATAGAATTACAGAAGACAAACTTTCTGAGAAGTTCCGGAAGATGAAGACACTAATGTAAAAAAAGTAAAGTTGTCCCTGTGCTTAACTAACTAAGCACTATGCCATGAAGATTTATGGGGGAATGGATGTACTGATCCACGTATTCTTGACCATGGCACTAGTTGGAGATGAGTGGTCAGAATCATGCCCTGGCCAATTTACCCCTGGGAAAAGATCCCCCCCCCCAGTACTCATTCGAAAGGAGGCTGTGTGGGCTCCAGAACCAGAGTGGATGACATAGGGAGGAGAAAAATCTTGTCCATAGCAGGACTTCAACCCCTCAGCCACCCAGCCAGTAGCCAGTTACTATGCCAACTGTGCTATCCCACCCAGTATTAGTTCAATTAAAAATATATTTTGTGCAAAGTTATTACATGGTGAGCATTAAGGACAATATTTGATGCTGGTTCATGCCAAGGATATTCTGTAACACTATGTGAATAATGATAATGATTATAATAATGATAAAAACAATAATTCATTCTTTATTCATTTACAAGATGACTGAACAGTCCAATGATCAATTTCAAAATAAGGATGAGAAACAAACAAACAACAATAACATGGCAATTTATTTTCATTCAGGGAATAAAATAATTCCATTTATAGAAATCAAATTTAATCATTAAGAGGTGAGAAGAGAAAAATGTACACATTTATACCAAACATAATTAATACTTTAATAACTATGAAACTACTATGACCATTAAAAAATATGTTTCAAATATATCCCTACAAACATTATCATAGCAGCACATCAAACAGAAGAACAATTGTTTTTTGAAGAGACAATACCTGGACATAAACCTATGAGATGCTGAGTAGGAGCTTGAAGACTAACACTTTGGAAATGGGAAGAACAGAATTTAAAACCACATTAAACCTTTATAGACACCACAGTGACCCTTTTTGTAAGGTGTATAGTTTTAAGTACTCTAAAGCATCAGTGTAACAGTAATAGACAAGGGGAAAGAAGTTATTATAACAGAGGGTTGCAAACTTCTGCTGGATGGCTTCAGTAGATGTAACAGAATTTGAAACAAGGGCATACTCTAGCTCTGATCTAACTTAGGTAAAATATTACACAAGCAGCCATAGAATGAAAAGAAAATGGGTTGACTGTGAACTAGATCAGACAACTTAATACACTGAGAAAATATATAATTAACATGATCATGGAAATTATGTTTAGAATCAATGATTATCCAAAGTCTTTAACATAATCAGTATGGGTTACAAAGGACTGGCAAAGTTCATATTCATATATCAGTATGTAAGCTTCTCTTGAAAAAGATGTAACTCTGGTTTTGCTTGTCTGAATTTCTTGATGTTAGCTAGTGAAATAAATGAATAAGAAAATGGTGGACTGTGATAAATCCTTGTATGCTCCCTTTAAATTAATTATGTACCCTTTTCTCTCTCTTCAGAGCTTTTACACATACATCTACATTGCAAACTTCGCTTACTTTGTTCCGGGAGGCATAAGGCATGAACTGTGACACAGTTAACACTCCTGGGTTAAATGTTGGGAAGCTGCGTAGAGATGCACCATGGGAAAATTAAAAGAAAATTTGTAATGAAGTACATACAAGTGAAAAGAAATATGGAAGCATGAGCACATTATGTTAATGGGTAAAGAAAATGTGAATCCTGAAAATAATTATTAATTTTGGATACATACTTTTCATAAATAAGTAATTTAGAAGCCAAACATAAATTAATATGCTGAATGCCTTACCAGTGATACCATGCATCACAGTCATCACACCCAATCATAGGACTTCCATCATCTTGGCCTCCACATGCTGGGCAAATCCACACTTTATTTCCATCGCTATCCTGTAAAACATTTTAATGTAGAAATATTTTAAACATTTCGAAGAAAGCTGTGATCTGACTGATAAATTTTCATTTGAATCAAATCAACTATCTTCCATAATCAAGCCAGCAATCTTCATATCACTTACCTCCAACCCATGATGTCAAACTAACACCTGATTTAATGTTGCACTAGTTTGCTGAGGGAGGTAAAATATAAAGATCACAATGGATTACAAATACTTATGAATCATGAAAGAGTGGATTTATAGTCTCAGGGAAGATGCTATTCCAGAATTCATCAGTAAACACAAAAAAATCCCCTAAAAACCTCAATCAAAATAATAACAGCAGGCCTTCCTGGTTTGGAATGTAATCAGGTACATGGAAACAATATCACATAAAATTAATAATTTCTTGTAATAGGATATTTGCAAGAAGAAAATGGCAAGAGCTGTAACCTACAAATATACTCCACCCTATAACTGTGAAAACTTCAGAAATTTTGACTGATGAATAAGAAAAATTTGGAACTGGGCTATATAAAATAGAAAAGCATTACATTTAAGAACTGCTTTCACACTACTGCGGAAAACAAACATGAATTTTATGACAGCACTTTCACAGAATGTTCCCGAACACTTACGAACTGGCAAAACTTTGTTCTTTATTTCAGGTAGAGCAAATACTATAGACGTTACTTAACTTCAACATCTATCTCCATGAAATACGTAAACAAGTCACACACCCAACTCAAAATCATTCAAAGCATTTCATAGGGTAGTTAATACCCTGACAACACTGATTATTTAAATCATCTGTTCTCACTTGAGTTACATATATACTCTAGAAACACACAAAGCCTATCCATTCACTCACCCACACACTGTTACCAAGGCCTGCACCACGTACGTACCTACTGTATGTTAGTCGATCTATTTCAATTCACAACTGTGAACCATAATATATAGCTCCAAACATACTGCTTTTCTCATCTAATATATCTCCAAAACAAGAATTACAAGAAAAGAATTCATAATAATGGTGATGCCTCATGTCTTCAAGTGGGTGACTTACGAGTTACGATGTGGTGCTGAGAAGAAGCACCATGGCCAGTGCACTTACCACAGATGTTTGGCCAATTTTTGTCTTGTGTCCAGTGAGGCGATGATGTCCAGGCTTTGTGGCTATGCTGTTCTTTGAGCCAGCACAGGTTGATGAAGACACAGAAGCAGGCTTGGACCCATATGCTAAGGGGGAGGGCGTGGATTCAATAGGGCAACCCTCACGCTTCTCTGACTCTGTATCACATATGGTAGGCAGGTTGTTATCCATCTCGTTTGTTAGCATCACTTCATGCTATTGCAAGTCCATGCATCATGTTCATCATATAAGCTGTGCAAGGTTTCTTGGCCAATAGTTTCTATGTTGAAATCATTTATAATTTAATCCAATGCCACAAATAGTTTATACAGTGAAACTGAATCACAAACCATGCTATGTCAATTTACAAGAAAATTCAGTTTATAACTACACATAATACCAAACTTTGCATTACTGTTATGCTGGTAACTGCTATAACCAAAACTCAGAGGATATTATAAAATGGTGTTGCTACCATCATTAGTACTGCCCTCAGCGTTTCAATGAAGGAATGTGTCTTATAAAAGCTGGCCTTCAAAGTGTAACTTATATTTATTTATATATTCTACATAACTACTGGGCATATTTCACTTCCTACAACATTAATTTTCACACCACATTTCATTACCAATTTTCTACACTATTGACTTATATGGTGATGTATCTACTGATACCACATTCACATTTCAAGAGAAATGCTACTCTTGTCAATTGTAAATGACACAATGGGTTTCTGTTGTCACACTTCATTGTATGTAACTAAGCTGTCATCATCTATAAAACTGAAAATTTTCTCAAAATTTCACACTGTAAACCACAGGGCCAAACCAACCATAAGACAAAAAAATAACTATATATTTAGCATCAATGGTAATCAACTACAAACCATACTTTTCTGCTAGAGTGAACCTAGCAATCAATGAAAAGAAAATCTTTCTGGTGGAACAATTAGTGACACAGGGTGTACTCAAAAATGTATTTTGCAGTTCAATTTTGGACATTTAACACTGGCACACAACTCCTTAAGCAACAGCTCTGTATTCTCATTTGAATCAATGTACATAAATCTGAATGGGGGAATAGCCTGGTTTCAATCTCTGAGTGCAAACTTAGTATAAAGTTAACTGCAAATGGATAACATACCAATAAACAGTGCATCACCCATGAATTATACTGTTATCTTCAGAACTGTCAGTCCAAAATCTACAAAATATAATGTTTCCTAATTTTAATTAATATTTTTCATTTTGCTGTGATTCACTAAAATCTTAACCACGAATTTATAACAATTATCTTCCATGTGCAAAATTACTTCATCCAATGCAAAGTAACACATGCATTTTAAGGATCATATGAAAGGGTGTGGGCAGGTTCAGGAAAACATTAAAACAAATCCTGGCAGTGATATAAGCAACATTGATAAAAGTAATAAAGATGATGATCATGATCATGATGATGCAAGTTCTTTCAAGTCTTTTGGAAAATTATATTTTCTTGTGCCTGCTGTGAAGTTACATATTTTGCTGTGTAATTCATAACAATTAAATAGAAATTGGGTGATATATGGTAACCTGAAGGAATAGCTAGTAAAGAGCTACAGAACTTTCCAATTCATTCATTTGAAAACTGACAGCTCCCATGCTAGAAGGTTAATTTTAAATCATGCAGTAGTGAAAATTTCCCAGAAATAAAGACTGAAACTGGAAGTATAACTAAAAGTTCCAGTTGTTTATAAGGAGCACAGTCACTAACAAGGTGATGCAAGTAACCTTGTTACAAATGTGGTGAACAATAAATTAAATTCAAATTTCTGAAGAAAATCCTTAAATTATGCAACACCGAGTCTGTTTAAAACAAATGTAATATTCTTGATACAAAATAAATCCAATGACCAGTTTCACTGGGTTGATCTGAATTCTATAACAACACTCTCTTAAAACCTGAAGCATTATTTGACAACATTTCACTCCTTTCTTCACGTACATTAATTATGTAACCAATACCCAGGAAGAACTACTAATGTGTCATAAACAAAACTGGTAATCCATGCAATGTATTAAACATTACTACTCTCAGGATGCAATTAGTATGGCATAATTCCTTTTAAATTATGACATATCAGTTTTTGTGCTCATTTACATTTTTCCTTTCATAGAACACACACATCTTGGTACTTCACAAATCCATTTACTCACAGCTATATTCATGACCTTATTTTTAAAAAATTAAAAATGTCACTGATACCAACTGCTGAATGTATGTAATTTAACAACAGATATTAACAAAACTAAAGTTTCAATTCTGTTCCCCCCCCCCCTATATTATGGCTGGGGCGTGAAGCTGACCACTCACCTCCGGCTAGTGCCGAGGTAAAGAAAATGTGGATCTATACATCCATTCCCCCCATATACCTTCATGGTATAGTGTTTAATTAGTTAAGCACAGGGAAAACTTTACCTATTACATTATAATTCGTTATTCTTTAAGCCACGGGTACATAGGTACACATATCACAGGATCCCATGGCTGTGCCATACTCAGGCAGTTACTTGCAAGTTTTCCACTAACAGCTTGGGTTCAGTCCCAGGTCAGGTCATATGAAATTTGTAGTGGACAAAGTGGCACAGGGCCAAGCCTCCTCTGAAGCACCCCACTCACTGAGCATTGCAACACAGCCTTGATACTGGCAATGTCATTAAAAAACTGATCCAAAACTGATATCACTGTGCTGCAAAAGGTTCTGACTGATTTCCACATATGTGAATATAATGATGGAATATTAAAGTTCACTGTTGACTGTGAACACGAATTTTAACCCAACTTCTTTTGATCGTAGCTTTTTTCAAGCCTGTATCTCCAACAGAATATATTGGAATACAGTTCTTTCCACTTTACTTCATATTTCTTCAATGTTCACAATATCAAATATTCTGAACAAGGAAACTATACAGGAAAACTTCCATCATTCTGACAGAATGAAGTGAGAAATGATACATTCATGGAAATGACTGATAACTGTTAGCAAAACAACCTAATATTCTGTCAATTTTACAGAGAACAAAAAAAAAAACAATGAAACCTGGTAAAACTGGCCACTACTGTAACCAGAATCCAATAAGAAAGCAAAGAATGTCATACATACAAGCCCATCAGAATGAAAGTTTTACAGATTTGTTTAGTTGCTCTCATGCAAATACGTGAATGGGAATAAAATACCGGCAAAGTGCTCAGTATATAACAAACAGAAGTGCTTCACATTATGTATATTCATGACATACACTTCAGTGGCCTATGTTCTGAAAACACACCACAGGTAGAAGAACATAAAATATCTAGTTAACTTCCATCTGTAACATTTTTCACTGTAGACAATATTTATGAAACACATGCAAGAAGCATTAGGTTTTCAAGTAAGATTGTAAGTCCGTGTTGTCCAATCTGGACTAGAGGTACATCTATTTTTCAATTTTAATAAGGCACACCAAATAAAAAATTCATTACATGTGTACAGACAGACCGATACAACAAAGCTAATAGGTGCTTACACATTACCACCATCAGCATCGAACAGAATTTTGAACAAAAAAATATTACTAATGTTGTATTTTAGCGTCCTGTTGCACTGATTTAAGTCCATGATTTATTTAATCCGTCTTGCAGTGCATACACTCATTTATCTCCTTCTCTCCCTCGCACTACATGTTTCGGCATAATAATGCCATCTTCAGGTGCTTACTTATCCACGTCAAACCAGTTCATTGCATGCCATGTTCACACATTAAAATAACTAAAATATGTATCTATCATATACATTGTCAAACGTTAAAAATATTAAAATTGTTCAGGATACCACATCGCTACGTCGCCCCTCACTATGT